AAAACCTGGTAAGTATTTAAAAATGTATTCTGTTTGATATTTATAGTTAAATTCAAACTTTTTATTTTTAGCTTCTCAAGTAGAAAAAAGAAGGCGATCTAAATTAGAGCGCTGTAAGTTTTGTTATTTAAGTTTCAAATATTTTAATCTTATTTTAAACTAAATTTATATTTACTTTACTAGAAAATTTAAATAATTCTCATTCTTCTAATACTTCTTCTTCACAAAGATCCACATCACCACCTTCACAAACTGTAGACTCCTCTACATAATTCTTTTTTCTTTTAAACCTAACCATACTTTGCATAAAGGGAGTGGAGGTGGAAAATTATCATTCCAACTATTAACATTCTTTTTTCCTTTTTCTTTTTCCATTTCCTCCTTTAATTTCACATTCAGTTTTTTTTATAGTTTTTTTTTCTGATTTTCATTAAAAAAAAAAAAATATTTTTTTTCTAAACGAAGCTTGCTACCTCTATGCAATGTTTAGGATCAACAGTTATAGGCTAACTATATCAGGCCAAGAGCAAGCATACTTTAACAATTATAAATTATTCGATTTGTAGTTTTATTTTTTTATTTTATTTATGTATCATTATTGTAATAAATAATAGAACCAATTAATATGCAAAAAAAAAATTTTGTTATTAAAATTCTATTTCGTTAGTTTCAAAAATTAATGCTTTTTCGAATTCTTTTTAGATAAATAATAATAAAAACTTTATTATTTAGATTCTTCTAAATAAGTTATCAACTATGGTTAAAACTGCAGTTGAAAATTCAGTTAAACCGTCAGTTGAACTAATGGTCTAACCATATTAAATCATGTGATAAAAATCGATATTTATCATGGTTCTTAATCTTGAAACTAAACTGAATCAGTTCAGTTTTACAACCAGTTTAAAACTAGTTTATCTTTAACTATTAACATCCCTACCAGCCAATATTTGGTACAAACTGGGTCTCGCTACTCAATTATTAATTATAAAATAAATAAATATATAAAAAAAAATAAAAAAAATAAAATGAATTTAAAAAAAAACAATTATTTTCGAAATCTTGAGTCTTCAGCTGATATTTAGTATGAACTGGACCTCGCTACTCAATTAAATATATTAAAAAAAATATAAAAAAATATAAAATAAAAAAAAAGAATTTTGAAAACTTGAGTTTCTAACAGATATTTGATATGAACTGGATCTCATTACTCAATTAATTAATTATAAAATAAATAAATATATAAAAAAAAATAAAAAAAATAAAATGAATTTAAAAAAAATGATTATTTTCAAAACTTTGAGTCTCCAGCCGATATTTGGTATGAACTGGATCTCGCTACTCAATTAATAATATAAAAATTAAATTTTATTTTTATATTTTTTGATATAGTCATTATAGTCCTCAAAGAAGACTAATGCTGTCAAGTTAAATAAACAGTTATATTCATATTTATCAATATGATTTATATCACTTTTTATATAATCCAGAATCATAATGTATTCATCATAAATTGTCAAAAAATTCATTTATTTAATGCTGAATTGTTTAGCATGAGGATATTTGTTAATGAAAAGTATTTTAAATTGTAATAATTTTTATAGATTTAAAGGAATTAATAATTTGTTATGAAAGTACTTTATTTTTTTTGATTTTTGAGATGGTTAAAACCAAAGTTATATTTATATAAAATTTTAAGATAAGCTTTTTCATATTGAATAATACGAATACAATACCTTTTGCAAAGCGTTCATATTAGATAAAAAAAGAAGAGAAAGGAGAACAATGCAGAAGGGAAAAAAAAATGCAAGGTTATTATTAAAAAGATAATGCAAAAAGTAAAAAAAAGAATAAAATACAGTATTATTTTTTTTAAAATTTATTCTTGTAAATTATAGTATTATTTTAATTAATGCGTCTAAAATATGCATACGATATGATGAATTAAAATTTAATGATATTTAACGCTACTAAACGTTATGCATATGATGATTTTCTGTAGTGATATTTTATAAAATCTGCACTAAAACTGCAATGTTTTGGTGACCCTTACAATTATCATTTCGCTATCACAATTTTTTACATCAATTTTTAAAATCTGCTGAATATTTTTTATTATAAAAATTTTTTTAAAATTAATTCATATTAAAATACTTGTTATCTAAAATATTATTATATATTGAAAAACTCCTTTCATTTGGCCAGAGTGTAAGTCACTTTTCTTGATATTTTAAACACAAAAAAATTATAAAAAAATTAATAAACCTTAAAAAAGAATTTAATATGATTGGTATATAAAACACATTTTTTTTAAAAAATCTGTGATAATCTGTTAATTTCCATAAATCTGCTAAATCTATAGGTTTCTGCTTAAAGCGGGAGATTATCATCTCTGATTATATATTTTTAATATAAGAATTTAATTATATTTTACTATTTTATTACAATATGTGCATATGATTCTGAATTATATATTGTTAATACAGAAATTTAATTAAAACTTATGCTGAATTAAATATATTTAATGTTAACATGTGCATACGATTTTGAATTATAATTTTTAACACAGGAATTTAACGCTATTTCATTAGAACATATGCAATTAAATATTTTAAAATTGACATCTCTTAAAAGCTAAAAATATATATGAATCAATAAAAGATACAAAGTATGTTCTCATTGCATATATTAAATAGTGCAATACATGCATCACTAATTTTATGATGGGAAATCGTATTACTATGTAAGATTTTATACGATTCCGTAACCCTACGTAGGATTTCACTGTAATGTTTCGTAAATCTTATGATACCGTAATCCTACGTAAGATTTTGACCGTAATATTACGTAAATAATACGACCCGTAACCCTACGTAGGATTTCACCGTAATATTTCGTAAATCTTACGATACCATAAGATTTCAATCGTAATAATACATAAATAATACGACCCGTAACCCTACGTAGGATTTTACCGTAATGTTTATAAATCTTACAAACTCGTAAACTCGCATAATTTTACAACATAATACTCCGAAATATTACGAAAATCGTAAATCTACGGAATATTACGCTGCATTTAAGTTTCAGATGTGTCAAGTCTGACTTTTGGGACAGCATTTTGTTATTAAAAATTAATAAAAAGTTTAATAAATGCTACATCCGACTTTCAGGGCGGCATTTAAATATTGAAAATTATTAAAAATGAAAATTTTAATAATAAATGCCGCGTCTGACTTTTTGGTCAGCATTTTAATATAAAAAATTATTAAAAATTAATTTTTTTATTAATAAATGCCACATCTGACTTTCAGGACGGAATTTTATTATTAAAATTTAATTTTTTTAATAATAAATGCTGTGTCTGACTTTCAGGATAGCATTTTATTATTAAAAATAATAAAAAGTTAATTTTTTTAATAATAAATACCGCGTCTGACTTCAGAGCAGCATTTTTATTTTCAAATCTAACAAATCGGATTTGAATCCAAATTCGAATCTGACAGATTGAATCAGATTTTTTGCGAAATACTAATCAAAAATAATATTATTTTAATCAAATTGAAGATAGAACAAATAGTTTATTTAAAATATGGTATTATTTTTATAAATAGGATGGTTGGTGAAAATTACATCAAATAGAAATACATACAGGAAATACAAATGCATAACTTAAATCTTTAGCAGCAATTGTATTTTTATTTCCAGCAGCTGGTAAATTAAATTACACTAAATTAACTGTTTAATTTCTTGCTTTATTAAAAAAATATCCAAAAATAAAAGAATTATTTTGATATTTTATATCAGTTAATCTTACACATAATTAAAGATGGTACAGCAATTGATTTCAAATTTACAAAATGTTGCAACATAAGCTAAAATTAGTTGCAATATATGTTGCAACATTATAAGTTGCAACATATATATGTTAAAACTAATTGCAACGTAAGTTGCAACATTAAAAGTTGCAACATATTAATTACAGTTCCCATCTTTACACATAATAAACATTATTATGCTTTTGATGAAGCATACTCTTCGAATAAAAATTAAATGTATTAGAAGGATAGTAATACCATCATAGCCAAAAACTCTAGATAAGATTAATGTTTCAATTTCCCTTTATTATACTTTAATTGGAGATTTATTTTTAATTAAATATATAAGAATTAATCAAGAAAGAATTCTTTTAGTTACTACAAAAACAAATATTCAATATCTATCACAAGCAAGATTTTGGATTATGGATGGTACTTTTAAAACAGTTTTGACTGTTTTTTATCAACTATACACAATTTATGCTCCTATTGATATAGAAGATAACTTTAGAATTTTACCACTTGTATATGCATTAATGATTAATAAATCAGAAGAATTTTATAAACGATTTTTTCAAGATTTAATTAATTTCGCTGAAGATAATGATATTGAATTAAACCATCAACAATTATATGACCAATCAACCACATTTCAATGATCAATATAAGAGTTTGCTTGACCAAATATTTTCATCCATAAAAAAAGAAGCATGGTTATGTCTTACAACTCGCAAAAATAACCCACTATCTGAGGAACAAGCTAGAGGAATTCATTCTGATATAGAGGAGTTGCTCACTAGTAATATTAATAGGTATTATAAAAGTAAATATCGCCAGAAAATTAAGATCAAAGCAAATACCTCCACTGATGGTAGCAATACTTTTTCCCGATTGGATGAATTTGAAAAACAGTTGGAGGAGCGTGAAGCTCTCCTAAGACAGAAGGAAAACAATATTAAAAAAACTATTGAGACTCGGGTTGATGAAGAATGTAAAAGTATAAAAGATGAATATGATACTCTTATGGCTCGTAAAGAGAGTGAATATAATAATTGTATGGTAGATATGCAACAGAAAATATATTCATTTAAGCATCAACTAAAAACCAGCATAATTCTCATTCTGCTGACTTGGAGAGGCAATATAAATCTCGTATCTCTACATTAGAAAAATCTATAGCTGTAAAAGATAAGGAGATTAGTAAGTTATCCGCTACTATCTCCTAACTTAAAAATGATAAGAAGGATATAAAAAAGTCAGCCAAGCATAAGTATAAAGATTTGGAGGATGTTATCTTCACTAAAGACTTAAAGATTATTGCTCTTAATGATAAGATTATTTTTTACACACCCCATGCTGGAAGAGATGCGACAATAGAGCCAAGTTCATATTTTTCTTACCATGATACTAAATTATAGACTGAAAAGCGGAAAGATGCAAAGAATGATCTAAATATCAGAAAAAAATATACTTTTCGAATGCG